TCACTAAACACTGTAAAACTTAGAGTACAAATATACTTCCTCATTCAATGATTTATAGCAAGGAGCCAGCCTTAAAAATCTTAAACAAAGAGACATTTACAGACTATTTTTTCCCTCTAAAAACTGTTTTACGAAAAATAGAGTATTTCTTTGCTGCAGACAAAACAAGATAAAGTGATAAGAAATAGACTTCAAACACTGTGGTAGCTGATGTAAATTACTTTCTTCCTTCTCAGGATAAAATGTGACTATCCAGTAGGTCTGAGAACTTTTAAAACTTGCAAAATATGGGACTTACTCTTAGTTTAGGTTTCTATGCTTAGTAACACTGTCATTTGTAGTGTGGAACAGGAAGCACACTGAATTAGTAGTGTAAACCAACCTTGAAGGTTCTAACCCAGTATTTCAGAGTACCTTGGCCATGACCAGCTGCAATAACATTTAATTTAAAAGAATAACATTTAATTTAAAAGTTTATACAGCACTGTTCTTCCTATTAGGTAAAGATACTAGAATCTATAAGGTCAGACAATTAAGTCCACGAACTCATCCTAGAAAAAGTGCTACATGCCTCATTGCTGAATATCACTATGTCACCTTCCAAGTGCTCCCCTTGGGAAGCTATGCATTGACACCAGTGCCTAGTCCACCCTTCAAAGCAATTTTGGAACTCTTTTTATGAAATGGTCATCAGAGCTGTCATAGTATTACCCTTGATGTCCTGAGTGTCATCAAAATGTCTTCCTTTCAATATTTTCTTTATCTTTGGGTAAAGAAAGAAGTCATTGGGGGCCAGATCAGGTGAGTAGGGAGGGTGTTCCAATACTGTTATTTGTTTACTGGCTAAAAACTCCCTCACAGACAGTGCTGTGTGAGTTGGTGCATTGTCATGATGCAAGAGCCATGAATTGCTGATGAAAAGTTCAGGTTGTTTTCGTCTAACCTTTTCACTCAGCCTTTTCAGCACTTCCAAATAGTAAACTTGGTTAACTGTACAGTTGATACAAATTCATAATGAATAATCCCTCTGATACCAAAAAAGGCTAGCAACATCATTTTGACTGTTGATTTGTACTGACGGAATTGTTTTGATCAAGGAGAATTGGGTGACTTGCATTGTGCTCTCTGACACTTTGTTTCAGGGTCATATTGGCACACCAATGTTTCATCACCAGTGAGAACACAGCCCAAAACATCATCTTGCCTCTCCCAAAGGTCTTGACAAACTTCAACTCTCCTTTGCTTTTGTTCATCAGTGAGCTCCTTTGGGACCATTTTTGCACACACCTTTCTCATGCCAAGATTTTCAGTTGAGATTTTTCTGTTTCTCTATCAATGTTTACTTGGGCTGCTATGCTTCTCACAGTCAGCCGACGATTTTGACACACAAGTCGATGAATTTTTGCAATGTTTTCATCAGGTCTGGCCGCCCTGACCTCTCTTCATCAATGATGTGTTCTCTCCCTTCAGAGAAATATTTAATCCATTTGTACACTGCTGTTTTCTTCATGGCATTATCCCCATAAAGTTGGACTAATATGTCCCTGATTTCACTTTCACTCTTGCTAAGTTTAACAAGAAATTTAATGTTTGTTTGTTGTTCTAATTCAAGCTCAGACATTTTCGTGATGGCACACAAAAACATGCAACAACAATAATAAGCGCCACTCAGCAAGACACTGCCACACGTCAACCCGAACACAGCTGTGAGACACTGATATACAAAGGTTATGAAACCTTACCAAGCTGTTTATACGGTGCTGCCAATGTAAGCGCACAGTGGCAAGTTTGTGAACTTAATTGTTGGAACTCATAGACTGTAAAAACCTAAAATAAGGTCTATTAGACACCTAGAACGTCAAGCACTGACTAGTGAAAACCTTCCTGCCCTAGCCTCAGAGGTTATGTAGAAGTCAAGATGCCAGTGCTAAGGAGATATTTAGGGGACATTTCTTTCCTTTGAAATCTGGAATTTTCTTACAGTTTCTTAGTTTCTACAACTAACTTGGTCAAGACCTTGAATGACAAATAGTAACAGTTTTAACAATTCCAAACAAACAGGAAAGGCTGTAAGAGGTACAGTGCGGTATGTTAAAAAATGTGTAGAATTACAAATCCATAATCCCTCATCAGCAATTTCAAAATCCAAAGTTATGAAAACTAAGGTTTTTGTGTAATTTATTAGTGAACAGAAATTGACCTGATCTGAACTCATGTGGTGGCAACACCTGACTAACCTGACTGAGGCTCTTTTGGGTTTAGTTAGCCCAAGATGGTGAAGACTCATATCTTAGGGTACAGAAATAATAACTCTCTTAGTTACAGGGTGCTGCTCAGACCCCTGGGGATGTTATATACAGACATTAACTCTGTGTGGATGTTCATTGTACATCAATGTACCATACTACCATTCTAAAAATCTGAAAAAAAATTTCTCATCCCAAATCACATCTAGCCTGAAGATCATCATAAAAGGGATATGGACCTAACACCAATTTCTACCCAATTTGATAAATCATGCAAAAATATATTTATCTGAAAAAAGCCTATTTGGTTCAAGCACTACATATATAAGCATCAATAATAAGGATGATTTTATGCAAATGCTCATACCTCAGCATTCTGAAACATGACTCATTCTGATCGTGTTAGAGAGCCAGCTTATTCTATACACTAGATAAGCTAAATAAACAACACCTACTCTTATGATGGCTCAAGAGATCTAGTACTCTGCAATCCCAAACCAGGAGTCACTGTTCCCAGTAAGACGCTATCAAACTGAGTAAAAAGCTATTTGTAGCAATGTTAACAGCAACCATGTGGTAGCAGGCAGAATTAAAGTAATACCACAATGCCTACAAGATGAACAAAGTTCCACAATACAAATGGCAAATTAATTTCCACACATCTGCTAATAAATTTATTCATGCTGGGCCGGCCGAGTGGCTCAGTTGGTTAAGACTTGGCTTAAGAGGGTGAGCTCTGAGTAACAGGGCTACCAGTTCTATTCCCACATGGGCCAGTGACACTGCGCACAAGCTGAGCTGTCACTGAGCTGTCAACAGGTGGCAGGATGGCTCAGCTGGTGTAACAACAAGACTGCCTGTTCAATGGTGGGCTACGCTCACCCGCAACTAAGACTGAATTCGGCACTTGAGCTGAGCTACCTCCCAAATGGCTCAGTGGATAGAGTGTGGGCTCTTAACAACAAGGCTGCAGGTTCAACTCCTGCATGGGATGGTGGCTACGCCCACCTGCAACTAAGATTGTAACACAGCACCTTGAGCTTAGAGGCCACGAGCTGCTGATGGGCAGCCAGATGGCGACTGGCACCCTCCACAACCAAGACTGAAGAACAGTAACTTGGCTGGTCCCTTTCCTCAATTCCCCAACACTGTTCCCCTCCCCCAATTCCCCAATAAAATCTTTTTTTTTTCATTTTATTCATGCTGAGGGGGGCCTATTAGTCTTCAGACATTTTAAAGTACTATCTGAAAAATATGAGTATGGTTTTCATACAAATGACATAAACAGAATTGAAGAATTCTATCTAGCACAGATAAAAAATACTGTATGTAGTTATTTCTCAGTCATCCATTCCTGCTCTACCACGGAGTGTCACAAATACCCATGATGCCTCTTCAGATTATACTTAGCATTTGATTTTGTTTATTTTTACTTTAATTTAAATACAGAAGGTCAAAGCATCAATTAAGCAGGAATGCTACTGACAACTCTCTAAAATTGAAAAGAAAACTTTCTTTGTGTGTTTGAAAAATGTAAAGCCAAAGGTGCTATCCTTAATAATTTAGTCATTCAGTTCAATAGATTTCTTTATTATATATACTTCATTTTCTTTACATTTATAACATATAAGTTGAAATAATTTAGTTTATATGCAGGTCAGTTTCATTTTTCACATAAATAATCCTAAATTAAAATCAGGATTCTGAATTTTGGAATATCCACTGAACATGCCATGTTCTCTTCCTGGTTCCATGTCTTTTACATATTGATTTCCTACCTAGAAAGCCCTTTCCACACTCATCTTTCAAGGCTCAAATTAAAATTACCTCTCGAAGTGTTCCTCAATTCTTATGAGTAGAATTATTCAACTTTTCTTCTTTGCTGCCATTATACTTCTTTCATAGTACAATTACTCTGCAATTATTTTTTCTCACTTAACCCCCAAAAGGCAATCGGCTTATACAAGGATTGTGAGATAGTGTTTGTTTTTTTCCGAGAACTTTGCACACAAATGTCTCTCCCTCGATAAATATTTGAATGAATGAATGATCAAATAATTAAGATTCCATTATAAGGCTATACTCTCCTCAAATAAGAACATCTAGTAAGGAAAAAGAACTGTAGGAAGCGTCAGTCTTCTAAGGCAGAAGGACTAAACCAGACACTCTTTAAACAGAGGGTAGAGTTCACAATCAATACCACAAATTACTCCAGTTGTTTCATGAGTGTTAAACTGAGATGAAATATTGTCCAATGTCAAGAGTTGGACCAAAAGGGCAGTGATGGTAACTTGCTCTATTTCAAGTTCCCTCTTGTCGCCAGATCCTACAGCATTCAAACAGAATGATTTTGAATCAATGATAAAGACTTGAAGAACAAGATATATTTGTAAGGAAAAATTCTCCAGATCAATGTTTCTCAAACTTTTTGTGCACAGGAATCCCCTGGAGCTCTGGTTAAAAATGCAGACTGTGACTCGGTAGGTCTGGTTGGGGCTTGAGATTCTACATTTCTTTAGCAAGCTCTGTGTTGAGCCTGATGTTGCTGGTGTATAAACCACACTTTAAGTAGTACTGCTAGAGCACAGACAGATATTATATTTTCCTCCAAAGTTCAAATTGAACTTGTCTTGATTTTAATTAGGACACCCTTGTTAATAACACTATCTTGACAGTGTTAGTTACATAAAACATTACTGAAAATTCAATTAGAAGACATACATATTACTTTAGAAATTATTTAATTGTTCTTACCTATACTCTGGTAATGCCATCGAAAGAAAATTCGTTCAGGTAGAAACTGCAGTATTTTCTACAAAACAAAAGAACTCATAAGATATAAAAAGAAAATAAACTATAAATGAAATTACACATTTTCATGATAGACATACTACTTTCTATATATACCGCATTGCAAAAAAAAATGTATACAAGTGGACACTTTGGTCAACGTTACTCAAGTAGTAGTTCACCATAATCAGAAGTGTCTGGACGCTGATGGTAACCTCTGAGCACCTCTTGTAATTCCAGAAGTCAAACGTGACTTGTATTCATCTTTTGTTATAGGTATAAATTGAGTATTACAATTTTAATAGTTTTCCTTTATTAAAATGTGTATACTTTTTTTTTGGCACCCTCTGTATATATGTTTCAGAAAAAAAAACTATTTGCAATAATATATAAATACTATACTTTATCCTGTAAAAGTTTCTTTTACTTGACCCAGGCAGGCTTCCCTGAATGTTTTAAAGAGATTACCGTCCCAAATTTAATCCCCCCTGAAGAAAAACAAGACAAAAGAAAAAAAACCCTAAAATGATATTATCTTAATTAAATATAGCCCTTGCTTAAATATTCAAAGAATAATTTCTCAAATGTCAGGTTCCTCAGGTTTCTTCTTTTTCACCTTCTACTTCGCATTTGCATTATAATCATTAGCCTCTGGACAATGAAGAAAGTTGGGAATTAGATGAGCAACAAAGAGGATGAGACCACCAACACTGTAGAATAACAAAACGAAACTGATGGCAAGAATTTCTTGAAATTAATAGCTAAAAATAAGTTTTAGGATTGTAGTTATGAATCCACCCCCGGCATTGGTAGATACAATAAAGAACAAATTTATGACATACAAGAGTATTTGACTAATAAAAGCAGCTTCCCCTCCATCCCAACTCCCCCCGCCAAAAAACAACAACTGATGAGAATGACTTGTTTTTCACTCTAGCATAAGTTTTGGCAAGTTATTCTTGGGAATTACAATGCCTTCTACTTTATCTGCAACCATCTTTTTAAAAAACATAGAAATCTAAACACTGGACAAAATACATTCTTGGTATTGATAATATTTGTACTATGAAAATCCTCTTCTAGGTTTATCTAGCCTAATAGTCTAACATTTTGAAGATTAAGGTAAAAAAATTACATTCAGATCTCCTGATAAGTATATTTCCAGGCAGCTAATAAACTACCCCCTCCATTCAAGCCAACTTAGGGTTTGGTTTCCTCTGGTCTTAACTTTCTAACTGGGTCAGTAACAATACACATGCATTCACTTAATGTGTTCTCACTTGACAATAAAGGGATACGTAAGAACTTCTACTGGGAAAGGGCAAAATAGGTAAACGTCCATCAAACATGACTTTCAATGGCATAAACTTTTCCCTCAGTCTGGATGCCTTGCAAAGATGGAGCCGCCTTACCATCCAGTTCTCACTGCAAAGGTCACCTCCTCACAGAAGCCTCTTGAGCGTTCCATCTAGAGAAGCCTGGCTCCCTTACCACCTCTCTGATGCTTTCTGCATCACCTGTTTTATCATCTTTATAGTCCTCATCCCTAGTTGGAAGGATCTTGTTGCTTCACTCATTTCAAGGCACTATTCCCTCCACCAGAGTATAAGACTGACGAGAGCAAGAACACCTGTCTTGCTCCCTTAAATAACCTAAGCACCTAGGGCATGACTGCCATACAGTATGTGCTTAAATAAATATTCAGGAAAAAAAATCAGAATGTTTTTTACTTGTGAAATTGTGAATTTTATAGGTAATCCCAATCTTTGCTACAGTCCTATGTCCACATTAACATAAAATGTACCTTGCCTTTCTTTAAATGTCATTGGCTTAACAATATTTTCATTAAAATGTGTGGGTACTTTTTAACCCTGAATTTAGTAATGAAAACCCAACAAAAAATAAAAGCTGTATAATTTAAAAGAACTAATTTTTCAAGATCTGATAAACAAAATAATAGAATATAAATATATTTAGTTTTGTTATAAATTCTTTATGCTACACATCTAGACAGATAAAAATGCTATACAAATTATACCAAAGATTTCTGATTTTATAAATATATTAAAAGCAGTACATAGCAGATCACATGCTGCAAATCACTAAAGTGAATGCTCTCCTACAATTCTATTGCACACTTCCCGTAGGACATGTTGGTTATCTTTTAAGCCCATAACTATAAAAACTATCTTATATCTTGTTTTACTATGTGATAACACTTTACCATTTTACTATGAAAATCCTCATTTTAGGTTTATCTAGCCTAATATTATAACATTTTGAAAGATATGTGATAATGCTGACATACACTCAGACACACACACACATACAAAATGCATGCACATGCATCAAATCCTATTTAGTGAAAAATATTTACACACTAGATACCAAGCTTAGCATTTGAAATGTGGAAATAAAATAAATATTAATAAAATACTTAGTTCTTACTTCTAAGGGTCTCATGATTAATGGGCAAGAGAGACAGTAAAGAAAATAACATTTGGGGGGAAAAAAGCCTAAAAGAGATTTGTCTGAGGTGCTAGAGAGGTGAGAGGGGAAGCATGTCATCTTAGTAGGGGCATCATGGAATGCTTCCTGAAAAAGAGGACACTTGAGCTGAGACTTACAGGACTAACTAAATTAGCCCAGTGAAGAACAGAAACAGAAGGAAGAGCATATGTGAATGCCAACAGGCAAAGACAGCTTGGTGCCTTAAAGGAACAGCAGCAGCAAGAGGATCCACTTGGCTTATAGGTGTGAGGAGGGGAGGAGGTGGGACTGGAGAGGCAGGATAGGCTGGGGTTTATGTTCTCAGGTAGCAGTGCACAGTTCCTAAACAGGTGCCTGCTGGAGTTGAATTTAAATTGATGAGAAGAGAGGCAGAGATGCCAATGAAGAGGCAAAGGGGGTATTTCAGATGAGATGAGGAATGAAATAGCCTGGGCCAAGGTTGGTAAGGAGGAAAAGCATATGATAGTGGTATTCAGGAGGTAAAATTGTCAAGATAGCCAGGTAGAGGCATTGTGGAGGACTCAAAAATGATTCCCCAATGGCTTAGTAGATGGCAACACTTTTATTACCTACCAAATCCAGAATTAAGGCATGTCAAGTTTGGTCCTGGACATCTTGGAATTTGAGTTGTCAATGAATTATCTTAGTGGAGATGTTCTTCTAGACAACTGAATATATGGGTCTGGAGTGCAGGAGCCAGATTTAGATGGTAACAGGATATAGGGAGCAGCCAAAGATGTATGTATATGAGATCCCTCTAGGAGAGCGCTTAAAAGATGAGATGAAAAAAATAGAGATATCAGTGAGCTGAAGTTCTCTTAAGAAGGTAAGGATGAAGAAGGTATTACAGAAGCTAGAGACAATGTGCACAGGTCAAAGGAGAAACTTCTGATGCACCAAGTGTTTGTGTGTTTATTTGTTTTAGAGGTTAGAAAAAGTTAAAGATGTTTGCAAATGTGGGAAAACTGATGCCACAAAACAAAGTGACTTCAGAATTAAACCAAGATGCTCAATATTCTCCGTTGCTTGGAGAACCCACACCTTTGTCAGACAGACACCAAATGCTAGGCAGGATAGGTCCATCTATAAATTGTGCAGAGACAGGGCCGGCCGAGTGGCTCAGTTGGTTAAGAGCTTGTTCAAGGGTGCAAGCTCTGAGCAACAGGGTTGCTGGTTCGATTCCTGGCCCGAGCTGAGCTGCTGCTGTGCTGCCAAGAGGTGGTAGGATGGCTCAACTAAAAAAAAAAAAAAAAATTGTGCAGAGGCAAGTTGCTCTTCGAGGGGAAAAAATTAACATCGGTATTTACCTTGCCATATATGCACACCAACATGAAATTAGATGGATAATACACAAAGGAACTAAGTGTAACAACTGTTATGTTTTAAGTTCCATTACATTAAAAAGGAATCAGGAGAAGTAAAAACAAAAAGCAGTTCTCTATCAAATATTTTAATAAGAACCCATATGAGTATTGTCCTAGCAACAGAATATAACCTGAACATCTTCATGAGCTGTAGAAGATGACAGAAACAGGGGTGAGAACCCAGAGAGCTATCTACAGATTATTACGGGAAAACACCACAAGCAAAGAGGTTAGTACAAGTAAACCAACAACTCTGGAAGTGAGAATAAGGACAAGGGTCTCAGCAGTTGCTGCCAGGCCAAACAAGCAACTGTAGAGCCCAGAATAAGCACAGTGTGGGGACGGACTGGGAGGTCTCCAAACTAAAGAGAGAAAGACAGCCTCCATTTGAACCTAAGTTTTATGATTCCTGCACTCATACTTACTCTTTATTAAAAAGTTTTACTATAGAGGCTAGTTAAATATGTTTGATAAAAATAATTGTTACAGGTTGAGTTCCTTGGGAAACAGATGCTGCAATGGAGTTAGGAGTGCTAATGGTTTAATGAGGAGTGATCTCTGTGAAAAAGAAATGAGGAAGCAGGATTGGACAGGGAGTCTTAGGCCACCATACAGAGCTGATAAGTGTCTGCCAATCTACCAGGAACTCTGGAGCAAAGGTGGCCTGTTAGAGGAGCCCTGAGTGCCTGAAAAGGGTGAGGTCCTTGTACCACTGCCTCACTCAGGCACTGGCTGGGGACCACAAGGAGAAAAGGGTGACCATGGCTGGAAACATGAAGGCATTAACAGCTGAGACTGACAGCTAACCCAGTCCTTGCAGTTGAGCAGCAAACTCTTTCTTGAAGGGGGGTGTGAGCAGCACATCTCTATGTCTGCCACAATAATCTTCAAATGATTAATTAGAATATTCTCATCATACTAACAGGATGAAGTAGTAAGAGCAGTGCACCCTACTTCAGGGACATGGTCTCTGCCAGCATCGTTTCTCAGCAGTTCCCTGCTGCTTCGTGTTGATGGAAACCTGGGTCACTGAGTCCTTTCTGTACTTTTTCTGCCTCCTCCTTAAGCGAATGGCACAGCAAAGACTCAGCGTCTGAACTGCGCATGCATTCTCCCAGGGGACTCGGCACACCAGCTACATTCTAGG